CACGCGCACAACAAAGGCCTGTTCTGCCTGTGGCTTGGGATCCTGGTTGGGTCCCAGGGCCCTGGTCTATAGGTGGGACAAATGCTGCGAAGGGAAGCCTGGGGTGGTTTGTTGCCTTGTATTAGACTTGGAGCCTGAACAGCATGGGATGAATTCAGGAGCTGCTTGGACTGCTGAGGCATGAGGATCTCTGGGATCCCTGCCTCTATCAGAAGGGTGCTTGGGCAGTGTGCAGGTCTCATAAGCAGGGATTCTGGCTTTCTCTGATGTAAAAAAAACCCCAAACCCCCCACCCCAGTTTTAGATTTAAACCCCCCCCAATTTTTTCCACAATTAAAAGGAAATGCTGCTATATGTCTGTCTATATTTTAGTGCTGCTTTGTTCTAATTGTAGAAAAATGTGGATTTGGGGTTCTTCTTTTAAATCTGAAAGCTGGGGATTTGTTTTAATCGGAGAAAATGGGCATCCCTGGTTATAATGCCTTGTTTGATTAGCCCTGGGTGGCTTTTAAACTTTATTTAAAGAAAAAAACGGTTATAGAAATCCTAATATTTGTTTTGTAAAGGGGCAAGAGTCATCCTACCAGTGCATAACACTTGTAAATGAAGCTTGCGGATAGATTTGTATTTCAGCTTTAGTTTTTTTGAGTCGGAGGTAACAGCTTGATGTTGGACTGGCAGCTGGGGTCGTGGTAGAGAGGTAGTTTTAGACTGAAGTTGGGCAGAAGTTGCACTTTCTAGACCATCTGCACTGGAGACTTATTTAATAGACTAATTTGAGCCGGTGTTCACTCTGAGCTAATCTCTCCCCTGGGGGGTGGGGGGCATGTAGGCCCCGCCCCAACTGAACTTGTAATTTGCTTCGGAGATGGACTGACGCACTTCTCTTTTTTTTTTTTTTCTCCCCCGCAGATCAAAATGGCATCAGATGAGGGAAAGCTTTTTGTTGGTGGACTGAGTTTTGACACCAATGAACAGTCGTTAGAACAAGTATTTTCCAAATACGGACAGATATCTGAAGGTAAGATTAAAACTGCAGACTGAGAACTTTAATTTTTTTTTTTCCTGTGGTATATAATGGGTTTGTGCAATGTAATTTTTTCCCCCCTTTTTCAGTTGTGGTGGTGAAAGACAGAGAAACCCAAAGATCAAGAGGCTTTGGGTTCGTCACCTTTGAGAACATAGATGACGCTAAAGATGCAATGATGGCTATGAATGGAAAGGTAAATAGATTTGTGTCCTTTTTCCCCTGATGTGGGGTGGGGGCAGATTTTGGGAGGCCTGTGTCCATTTTCCTGCTTTTTAAAGCTATTAACCATTTTGTATTCAAATGGTCCTGTAAGATGTGAATTTGGAATTAAAAATTAGATTGAAGAACTAAATATTTACTGCAGGTGTGAAAACAAATGTGCAAGTTGTACGTGAATCCTGCTTGCTTTCCAAAAGTGTCTTGGCTTTTAATTTGATGGCGGTTGGTTGGTTACTTCATGTGAAAGAGCCATCTAATGATAAAAACGATAGATTATTTAGCACTTGATGCCTTCAAAGTGTGTTGCAAGACTGATTTGGGGTTTTTCTATTTTCAGTCCGTTGATGGGCGCCAGATCAGAGTGGACCAGGCCGGTAAATCATCTGAAAACAGATCTCGAGGATACAGAGGGGGTTCAGCTGGAGGCAGAGGCTTTTTCCGTGGAGGCAGAGGTCGGGGCCGTGGTTTTTCTAGGGGTGAGTCAGTATTGCTGACTTGCAGCAACTGACTTTGTTAAGTGCCGAATTCAAGGTACTAATACTGCTCTTTGTATGTTTTCAAAGGAGGTGGAGACAGAGGCTATGGTGGAAGCAGATTTGACTCCAGAAGTGGGGGATACAGTGGCTCCAGAGATTATTACAGCAGCAGGTAAGTGCATGTGGAAGGCCAGCAACTGTCCTAAGCACATGTGAAATAATTAACCTCAGTGGGGATGTAAATTTACTCCAGACAAAATAGCACAATAACTTTTAATATGCAGGAGTTCAGGTGACTCTTAAAAAAAACAGGTGCTTATTTTTCAATCAGCAGGAGTCAAGGTGGTGGATATGGTGACAGATCTTCAGGAGGCTCCTATAGAGACAGCTATGACAGTTATGGTAAGTCTTAGTTCAAAAGGGAATGGAAAGTACATTGCTGTAGGAACTCGACCTTTTGACCTCATATTGAAGTCTGGAAATACTGTAAGCCTCAGGTCGGAGCATATCACCTGTTTTTGTTCTTGCCCATAAGAACCAGTCTATTTGTCAGGCCTTGGATGTGGTTGTGCCATTTTAAATTCCTAATCGTAATGCATGTGTAGGACTTGCTAGGATCTAAGGCAAAGCAAGTATTAAATGCTCACCTTCCTCAAACTGGAGAAAACGGCAAAACCAGTGCCCTAACAAGCATTATCAAGGGTGGGGGAAATTCTCTTTTTAAAACCTAATGAAGTAGCACTAGCCTCTGAAATAATACAAGGGAGTGAAATGCTGGAACTTGTCTATGCTTCAGTGCCTTTACAATTGTGCCTGCTTCTTGTCCTCAGCTACACACAACGAGTAAAAATCCTTCCTGACTCAAGATCGTCCTTCCAATGGCTGTATTTATAAAGATTTTTGGAGCTTCGCTGAAATCGTTATTGTGTAGTACATCTACTTGTATTTCCACTTTTGTAGTATTATCAGTTCTGATCTTGTCAAAACACAGCCTGACAGCTTCTGCTATGAGATGGTCTAATTAGACTTTTCTTTAAGAAAGCTCTGCTTTCAAGTGTTTTTAATCTTTTTTTGAAAGCACTTCAGATTTTATTTTCTTTTGTGATGAGCCAAGGTTACTTTTTTTTGGTGAAGTTGGGGCCCCAATTCAGTTTCTTTTGCTAGAAAGGACCTTTAATTCAATGTTCACTAGAAGCTGAACAAGCTGTGGACTTTTTTTAAAGTGCATTACCTTCGTCTCTTGTAACATTCCTTTAGTGTAGCAAGGTAGGAATGCAGCCTGGGTACAAATGGGAAGGCAAACCACCTTGATATATCTAAAGAGAACTTGCTTGTATGTTCAACCTGCATAACGGTATTTTTACTGTATGATGTAAATTACCCAGAAATAGACTTGCAAAACTTACCATAAAAAGAGGTTCTTGAAAATGTTTATTTATATTGTCCTTTTTTACTGGAAGAAATGCATATTCCATTGATATTGTATTTGAAGTGGTAAAGGATTCTTGTATACAGTTTTCTTTGGCTTTACGAAGCCTATTAAAAGACCGTCTGAAATGAACTCTGCTCCTGACATTTACATTTCATTGCACAACACAATCCTTGAAGATCCAGAACAAGCTTAAGTAATGGAGAGGACACTAGAGAAGAGTTAGTGAGAGGAGGAGGAGGAATAGTAGAGCAAGTCAGTCTTACTGTCCAGTGGAAAGAAGGTAATCTTACCAGTCTTGACACGTGCAATTACGCTGACAGAATTCACATAAGTCAAACCTCTGTAGAGGGAGACTACAAGCGAGTCCAGGGGTATTCTTTAAGGGCAAAAGATAGGTGAGAGAGAGAGAGAGAGGAGGGAAGCTTTAGCTGCTTTAGCTCAGGGAGGATGTAATATGTAGACATGGAAAAGTTAAGAATAAGTCCTTCAGTATTGGACTTAGTTGTTAGTAATTTAACACAGTGTTCCAAGGTAGGTAAATTGACGTGACTAGCTAGCTTTGTCATTGCTTTACAAGTTCTAAGAATTCTCTGCTAGCATATGGAAACTGCAGTGTCCTTGGAGAAAAGAAGTGTTGTGCCTCCTACAGAAACCTCTGAGACGAAAGCTGCTCTCTTGGCTAGTTCATATGTGGAAATAGTCCTGTAATTCGAGGTAACTCCTTTTGCTCATGTCCGCATCCTTCCTCTTGTTGAGAGCTCATTTTGAAAGTCTAATGTACCTGTGAAATAGTCCTTTGACAATTTCGGTCAACTGACAGAAATTTAAAAAAAATAAAATAAAAACATGCCTCTTGCAATCTTTGGCTTGTGGCACAACTTCAGTTCCACAGATCAGAGTTGGGCATGCAATCATGTCTTGCAGGTATGGAAGCAAGATGGGGAACAGAATTCCTTGACTTGATTTTTGTGCTCATCTATTGAGAATCTTCCTAGACTTCATTAAGTTGCTCACTTAATTGTAGCTTTCTCTGCCATCCTACTTGTTGCCATTAACTTTTTCCCATAGCCCACACTATTCCTAAGCAACCATGTCAAAGTGGTTAATTGTCTCTGCTTAGGGATCCAATGATATATTGGCTGGTATATCAAAGGCATCAGCCAGCCCTGGAACAGTTTTCCCAGACTTTGCTTCTGTGATGTGATGGGTTCAGCGAATGGCTTGTGAAACCCTCGTATATGATGTGACTTGTGTTTGGGAGGTGGGTGGCAGTATAAAGTCATTGCTTGGATATGGTTAGTAACGCACACTTTATTTGGCAGGTTGAAGAGAAGATGAATGCTTGAGCCTGGCGTTACAGAGCAGTGAGCATTCCCTGAAAGTGGAATCGGCCATCTGTTTTTCCCCTAAGCAGGTAATGACTATGATGCAGGAAATGACTAAAAGGGGGGGAAGCTGTTGGAGAAACTTGGTATTTTAGGTTTGGCTGTCTTTAAACACATTTGTAACTGCTGCTGTGCGCTGAGAAATAGCCAATTATAGACCGAGTCTTAACTAAAAATATTTGCAGCATTTGGACAATACGTGCATTTGAATTGATCAGCAAAACTTAACAGTGTCAATCCTTTTGTTTCAGCAATGAACTGCATTGAGGAAGAGCAAGGACAGCTGTTGACTGAAGTGGAGTCAAGAGTTTTGGGCAATGTGTAATAGTTGATCAACTGAACAGTCTGACTTATAATGGGTTTAGTGATGGCTAGAATAAATATTAGAATGTGGAAAAAAACTGAATCCTTGTAATTTTGTGCACACCTTGAGAGAGTGATGGGTATATTTTAATGCAGGTATTGGGTTATCTGAAATAGCACTGCAGAAAGCTCTGCTTCCAAGGAAACAGCTGATGAGCAGAAGTCACTGATGCACTCTTTCTCTTTTTAAAGAAGGCTTTGTGATTGATTGCGGGGAGGGGGTGAAAGCAGCTTTTGTAAAAACTACTGGTGCTTGGATAGAAGTACTGGGTTTGTAATAACACAAGCAAGGCAAATTTAACTGTTAGTGCTTTTTGACAAGGCAAGTAAAATTATTGTAGACTCGTGCAGAATTATTGCTGTTGATTTTTAGAAAGTTGTGATCCACATGAGCAGCTCAGTGCTTACAGATAACCAGTATATGGTCCTAAAACTTCCCATCTAATATTGGAGCTACTCTTATAAATTTGGACAATAGATTTTTGGCTTGGAGCTTAGTCTACTGCTGAGTAACTTGCGATTTTTCTCTGCTATTTTTTGAATACTGAAGAAATTTGGGTGACAAGTGTTGTATTTTGACTAAAGTAGTCTAGCATCCAAAAGCTCATAGAATAAACTTCCAGAAAGCAGGAGCTGTTTTATCCTACCAATGTTCCCCTGCCCCTTCTCCCAAAATACTAGTCCCCTGTAGTTTAATACAAGCTGGCCAAAAAGTCTCCTACTTGGTGGTGGTTACTCCAAGCAGTTTTCTATGCAAGAAGAAAGCATCTCTAGTTGGCAGACTCGCTATACTGCTAGATGAACTGGGAGGAATGTGTTCACTTTTTATAAAGTAAAATAAGCTATACTTGGCATCGCTGTGAGGACAGATGGGTAAGGTACTACATAATGGAGCTGCTTTTTAGGAAGGCCTTTTCTGCTACTCCCTGGTATCTGATACACAGTAGGGAGGTTAACCTGTGTCAGGGTGACTTAAGACTAAAAATGAAGCTTCAAGTAGCACAAGGCAGGCTTATTTTTCCCTCCTACCCCCAACACTTGAGCACTGCAATCAAGATTTTCTAGGGAAAACACTTGGCAGAAGGGATGGACTTTTGTCAATTATATTGGAGCCTATATAGCTGTGCTGTGCTGAAAAACCCCTGTTCAATATTTTTATGCTACAGTGGCTTAGACATGCTAGGTTCAGTAATGCAACCTCTCCTCTAAATGTACTTAGAGTGGTGCATAGGCTGCAGCCAGTGTGAGAGTACTACCCAAATCCTTGCCTGCTGTGTATGAAATCTTTGGAGGGGGGTGGTGCCTCCTAAAGAGTAAATGACCAACCTCTTGAGCAACTATTAAAACCTGTAGAGCAGCCTCTAGAACAATGTGGAAAGGGGAGACTTGCACCTTGATAATCAACTGCCAAGTCTCATGACTTCAGGCTAACTGCAAAATGAAAGTGCTTACTAGAGGCGTTTTCACCTTCTCTGTTACTTCACTTTACCACTCCCTTATGACCATTCTGTTGTTATCTTTCCCAGTGCATGAAATTACACCAAACACCTTGGAACTGGGCAAAAGGCTACCGTGAATATGCACTATTTTGCAATCGAGTCAAGAATCTGCCTTGGTTGCCTTCTTTTCTTGCTTTATTTCTCTAGCTTGGCTCTTGCACTGCATTCAGTGCAGGTTTTCCCTGTTGGTCCAGTTGTGCTTAAATCAAGTAAACTTTAAATCTTCATTCCCTTTTACTAGTTTTAGTTTATTGTTGCTTTAAGATGCCTCCTGGTCCCTATATCCATGATTATCCCATGTGCAATTATCTAGAATTGCCTCGGGACGTCCGGAGGACTCGGCCTCTGGCTTTCGAACACCTTTGACACCCTACACCCTGCTATGGATGTTTCCAGTCTGTAATTCGACCGGAAGTCTGCCCTCTTGGATGCATTGCACCAGCATCATGTGCCTCTGGTTGTCAACAAGAGCTGGAGCTGGCTAGTTATCCCTGTGCACCAAGTTACACTGAGCAGAAGCTTCTGGGCACTACAGTATCCGTACTCCAGAACGCAATACATTAACAAGATTAAAATGATTTTTACTGACACTTAATTTTTAAAATAGCCTATAGCTAATAAAGAACTATTTTTAGAGTTGCTAAGCACCTTGCACACCCGCAAGCTTGGGTTGGTGAGGTGGGTGCTTGAAAGGCTCTGCAGCCTGTGTTACTGCTGGTAAAGTTTAGCTCAATTTCTTTGGGACACCTCATGCCGACTCCAGTTACTGTGAGTTTCTGGCGGGAGGGGTTTCTACATAGGCGATGAGTGAAAGAAGAAAGGTTTCTAAGCCTCTCAAACTAGTCCATATTCCCCCCAATGGGTTAACTTCTCCCCTTAAGAAGAGCCATTAGCAAAAATGCATTTAATGATCTTACCCTGGCTTTTTCTTTATACACTGCTTAGGAAGAGGCTTATGGGACTGGGTTTGCCAATCGGATTAAATCCTATTGAAGATCAAGTCTTTCTAAAACAGCGCACACAGCGCTTTGTCCTGAAAGCAAGCCGCCGTTCGTGCTACGTTCCTAATGAAAACGATACTGCTTTTTGACGGCAAGTGCGGTTTAAAGTGTGTTGGAAGTAGACCTGGATTTTGGGCCCCCTATCCCAAATGCAAACCTCCCAGTTAAACCAGGATTGCGAAGGGCTTGCCTCCCCATGAGGAAAAGCTGCTCTGCCTTCAGCCTGCGTCCGGTTTTAATCTGGATGAATTCCCAAGGATAGATCTGGGCTGTCGGCCTTAGCCGTGTTGGTTTAAGGACACAGACAGGTCGATGTGACATCGGGTGATTGCGAAAGCTTGCAACAACTTTTTTCCAACTACTCGATCTAACAAAAGATACCGCATCTACCCAAAGCGCTTTGCCTGCCAAGGCTAAATCGGCACTAAGAGGGCCAAATCTTCCGTGGGTAAGAGGAGTTTCCTCTGCACCAGTGGGAGTGCTGCATGCCGGCTGAGGGTCTTGCCACGTCTTTAGACCCTCGCTGCCTTTGAAGCCTTAGTGATGGGACTTGCTCAGAAGTGTAAATGAATCCAAACGGGCGTAAGGGGTGGTTTGCAAAGCCTGGCAGGAGGCCTAGACCGCCTTCCACACACAGTGCTGGAGAGGCGGAAACAGGCCCAGCCCAAGATCGGGACAATGGAGGCTCCAGCTGCAAGGCCTGAAGGGAAAGGCCCGTGTGGGACGACTGCCACCTGATGGCCCCGGCGGAGAAGACGGAAGCCACGTGCGAGCGAGTCTCGACGGTGGTAGATCTGTGCCTCGCAGGCTCCGTCGGGGCCTCGTCGCGCCCGAGTTCGCTTCCTTCGATGCTGAGTGCAACCGGCCTCTGCTCGAGGCTGCCCTCGCCGGCTCCTTTGCAAAAGGCTGCGAGCTGATGGCACATGGCCCAAATCTCCCGCGGGTGGTTTGTGCTCAAGGGCAGATTCTCAAGAGGCGCTCAGCCTCCAACTACACCCTTGAGAGAGGCCCAGGTTGGCGGAAGAAATAGCATTTGGCACCGGTGCTGGAGTTGCTCTGAGCCTCGGCTCCGTTTGCGACGGGGACCCTCGCCCCCCAAAACAGGCCGAGGCCGCTGACGCCTTCATGCCGTCACTCAGACGAGACCGCTGTGGTGGTGCGTGCACGGGGACGTGCTTTATGCCGGGGTAGCTAGCCACGACTCGTGATTACAGCCACGATCAGGGTTGGGGAGACTTGCCAGGGGGGCCAGAGGCAACTTGGAGCGCTTCTCCTTGTGGGGACCTGCTTTTAGGCGGTAAAGCACCTCGCACAGCATTCCTAGGAAGCATGGCTGGGGCGTGCCAGTGCTGGGGGTTTACACGTGCACACGAGGGGGAGAAGATGCTGGAGCGGAGGGGTGCCTGCAACACCCTCCCCCTCCCCCCCGGAACTCGGAGTGCGCGGAACCTTGGCCCCGCCCGAGC